AATAACTAGCAGAACTCGCGGCTTCGCTCGCGCTAAAACTACAAAAAAAACTGAGATGAATTTCGGAAAGGTTCAAGTAATTCTGATCATAAATATTTTTTTGGATTGTATTATAACGTGTTTTCCCGTGAGAAACAGATAATTTCCCGCGGTAAAAAGTAGCCTATGTCATTCTCCAGCCCTCCAACTATCCACACAAAAAATCACGCCAATCCGGCTAGCCGTTTCGACGTGAAAGAAAGACAAACAAACAAAGAAAACAAACAACTTTCACATTTATAATATTAGTATGGATTATCTATCGTGTATTGCCCCTAGGCCACATTTGATCCATATATATATTATTATACTCCCATAATTAATAAATTTGAAAGTTAACCGCAGTAAAATGTAGCTAATTCGATCTCGAGCCCGTCCTTTTATCCTTATCTTCCAAAATTACATCGATTTGTCATACCATTTTGACGTGATAGAAGGACAAACAAAAAAACAGTCTTTCACATATATATTTAAATTTAAAAGTATGCATGGAATCAATAAATATCCTCTCAAATTTTATATATTTTGAAATACATATATAAAAAGATAAAATATGAAGTTATAATTTTCGCGTTCATACAATGGTTAGCCTATTTGTTTAATAGCAATATCATGTTATAAGTACATCCTCTAAGCACGTACGGTAAGTTATTAATACGCTGTGGAATTCGCACCGTCTGCGCGTAATGCGTAGGCGTCTCACGTAGCAACGCCTACGATGCGTAGAGTCTTTTTAATATTAATAATGTTTATATAAAAACACTATTTCTTCTCACTGGTACATGCTTAATAAGTTTAACTTAAATAGTGCATTTAAGTAATTTATACATATAATAAAATTCTAACTGAGTCGAATCTGTACATTAAATATTTTTTTGGAAAATCTTATTGATATATTCATTATTATCTATACAGGCCGAATCTATAGTTTTTAAAATTTTTGTCTGTCTATCTGTCTGTCTGGGAACGCATCACGAGAAAACCACTGGACAGTTTTTGATGGGTATGATGATAGCTGGTTATCCGGGTCAGGATGCTTTTGACTGCGGGAAAATATCTCAACTCTGAGAAATGTATACTTAACGTTAATAGTAATAAACTGGTAATATATTATTATTAATGTGTTGTATTCAGCCCTTTTTAACGTCCCACTGCTCGGCACAGGCCTTCCTTTAATACGAGGGGGATCAAGTCACAGTCCAACAGCACCCTGGGCGAGTGCGTTTTTCGAAAACTTGCTAGTCGTAGTAGAGTGCTAGTAGTAGTTTGCTTCGAAAAATGGTAGTCATGTCAAAAATGATTTGCACATGAAAATATTAGTGGTGAAAGACCCGGGATTTTAACCCGCGTCTCACGGTTTCCCAAGCAAACGCGTTACCACTGGGCTACCACTGCCTTAATATATTATTTGATTTTACTTAAATTTTTCTAATATGTCGAAAATTTAAAAAGATTTATTTAAAAGAATAGATAAATAATTTACTATAGGAGCGTTCCCTATTACTAAGATAAATTTACCCAATTACGGAATTCGTTGTAAACGTAAATACAACAATGAAAATTCTTCTATTTCATTGATGAGTCAGTCCGTAAGTCGTAATATTGCTTCTTATACATATAGATATTAGATAATATCTTTGCCGTCAAAGTTTCAACGCTTGCTAACACGACTCGAAATCAAATTTTCTGTACCTCTGCAATAAGTATATAAAAGTGGATATACTATATAAACCAAATTATGAATTATGTATAATTTATTTCTTACGTGCTGTTTTCTTTGTTCCATTAGAAGATATTTAAAAAAAACTATTGTTTTGACAAATGGTTTTCGATTTAAATCACATAAACGTGAAAGATAATAAAGCAAAATGACAAAGTGGAAATTCGAAAAAGCAATTCGAAATCCGTACATATAATAAAATTGTAACTAAGTCGAATCTGTACATTAAATATTTTTTGGAAAATCTAATTGAAATAGACGTTATTATCGATACAGTGTCCGAATCTATAGTTTTTAGTTTTTTTGTCTGTCTGTTACCGCATCACGAGAAAACCACTGAACAGATTTTGATGAAATTTGGTATGATGGTAGCTGGTTATCCGGGTCAACATATAGGATACTTTTTACCGCGGGAAAATATCTCATTTCTGAGAAAAAATACAAAAACTGCATTTTAAGAGTATACAAATATGTATGTAAAACCTAAGAATTTGGTTTTTGGTAATCTGAACGCGGGCGGAGCCGCGGGCAATGCTAGTTCATAAATATGACTAGACTAGATAATATATCTCTAAGTATTTTCCGTTGATACGCATAAAGAAAAGTATAAGTAAAAATACGGATGTTTGCGTCTGGTGACATCATGTTTTATTTATGTAATGTTATTGAAATGGTTCCATTAAAAGAATAAATGAAGCGATTTCCAGAACAACTTTGTGGATGACGCAAAGTTCCGTTTTGATGATGAAAATGACAATGGAAATTGAATTGTTCAATTGAATTGGAAAAAATATATGATGTTCTCCTAGCCGATTCCGGCCACGGCGGCCAATCTCATTGAGACTAGCCAACTGCGCAGGAGATATTATAGTGCACAAGTTTAGTTATTGAGTCTTTCTGTGTAGTAAGTCTCAGTAACAGCCCGGAGTTGGGAAGTTGGCGGTGTTTTACACCCGTGCCTCGGAGAGCACGTAAAGCCGTCGGTCTTGCGCCTTAACTCTCACTGGTCGTGTCAAGTAGTCGTCCCACCGGAGTATGAGAGTGACAGGAATAGAGAGTGCATTTGTGTCTGCGCGAACAGTTGTGCATTATAATATCTCCTGCGCAGTTGGCTAGTCTCGATGAGATTGGCCGCCGAAGCTGGAATCGGCTAGGAGAACATCATCTTCTAATATGTTATAATATGATTTTAAAATAAAATATCTAAAACGTATAAGACATAAAAAAACATATTGAGAATAGGACTGGTCTTATTTTGATACAGTTTCGTACTTCAACCGCAAAGACATGTTACTCATCAATATATTTTCATTATACACAGTTTTCTGACGTCTTCAGTAAACCAAAGCAACATACATAAATATATTTTAAACACACACATTAACTTGATAGGAATCGAACCCGTGATTCAATACGATATTCACTGCCAAACGTAACCCTTACTAAAATATTTGCAATAAAATATAGAGGTCATTCAATAAATACGGCACATTAAAGTAAGACCTCTCATAAATAAGTTACGGTCGATATTTCATCAAAAACGTCTAAGAGAAAACGTATTTCAGCCGCCTTGACCTAAAACGTAGACCCTATTACCATATCATTGCTTTAGAAAGTTTCATAATTGGATAATTCTATTCGAAGTTGAAATTACTATTTCTTAGTTTTATTATATTATTAATAACATTTTGTGTATAATATGTACAGTATATATGTATGTATATACTAGCATTACCTGCGGTTCCGCTCGCGTTCAAATAACCAAAAAACAAATTCTTAGGTTTTACATATTAGTATACTCTTACATTGCAGTTTTTCTATATTTTCTCAGAAATGATATACTTTCTCGCGGTAAAAAGTATCCTATATGTTGAACCGGATAACCAGCTATCATCATACCAAATTTCATCAAAATCTGTCTAGTGGTTTTCTCGTGATGCGGTAACAGACAGACAGACAAAAATTCTAATAACTATAGATTCGGCCTCCGTATCGATTATAATGGCTATTTCAATAAGATTTTCCAAAAAATATTTAATGTACAGATTCGACTCAGTTAGAATTTTATTATATGTATAGATTATGTACGTTGTATTCAGTCATTTTTAACGTAACACTGTTGGACACTGGCCTCCCTTCAATACGAGGGGGAGTATCAGACTATAATTTGTCTAATGAATTGTTTCAGAAATGACTACTTCATTTTAAGACAGGTATCGATTATTACTAACTAGCGTTTTATTAAATTAATATAAATTAGGTTGATTTCTCCATACAAACTTTCATCCCCATTTTCACCCCTTTTATCGATGATTTCCGGGATAAAAACTATCCTATATCCTTCCCAGTGTCTTAAACTATCTTCTTACCAAATTTCATCTAAATCGGTTTAGTAGTTGCAGAGACTACTTTCTAGAAACAAAATTACAAACTTACAAACTTTACTTCTTTATAATATTAGTATGATTACATGAGATGAAAATGACTTCAACATCGAACTACTATAATGGAACATTTATGCTTGACTCGTGATTCACATCTAAACATCAATCTACACTAAACATAAAGACAAATATACACATTTTAAATATATTAGGTGGTTCATATTAAAGCGCAAATAAAACACATTTGCAGGTAAACATTTATTAATGATTCTCATTCACATCACATCGTCGAGTCGGAGTCGAGAGGAACAGGAAATATGAAAAGTAAAGGGATTAAAAGCGGATAGAGCAGTTGCCAGCGTCGAGGGAACAAACTTAAAGCTGAGTTGAAAATAGAATTCACTGGACTCTTTAATAAGGCGTTTTTTCGTTACTTTACCTCTAAAATGCTCTTTGAACATTTTAGTATGACCTTTGACATTAAAATGAAATAATTTAATTTAAATGCTTCGTGAATTGCATTGCTCAAGTGCATCAGTGATAGCATATTAGGCAAAGGAGTCCAATGAAAGTGCGAAGAAATAACAAAAAAATCACAGAAGGCGACAAATAAGGTAAACAGCAGCAGACAGTGAAGATAGAGAGAGAAGAGACGTACAGGTGGTTGGTCTGTTCATGGTCATTGGAGTCGTGTGTGGGCTGTGAGCCGGAGCGCCTCAGCCGCCAGATGGCGTGGCGCGCGGCCACGAGGCGCGCGAAGCCGTGACGAGCCACTCTCAGGAGCGCTACGCGCGCATCGCACCCTCCCGACGAGTTACGCACGACACCCGCGTCACTGCACGCGGCAAGTACTCACCATGGACCGGGACCGGACAGGATCGACACCGGGACCGGACAGGATCGACACCGGGACAGCGGGACGTAGAGCGGATCAACAAGTGGTACCGGACTCACTGGAGCCTCCGTTACACCAACACCCCGTTATGACTAAACACGAAACAACTAAACTAACGAGCAAAAAGCCTGCCTACGACAAATATCACAACCGAATATCACAAAAGCGGTGGCAAGCGAAGCTTAGTGGACGGCGGCGGCTTACGTAACGCTAACTTATCTATACATATAAAAATGGTGCAAATATGTTTCGATCACAGAAAAAAGCCTTAACACTATGTTTTAATATATCCGTAGGGGAAGTTATGTAACGGAGTCCCAGTTTGTGTGGAAAATGGTATAGGGCGGGCGCATGGGACATGCGCATGGGTTAGCAGCCAGGCGAGCACTGTCTGCCCCCGTGGGCCGAGTGCCGCCACCCCCGCAGCCTTCGCTCACCCGCCACCCGTCGCCGCCCTCTAATTCAGATATCCTATACCTACTGACTCGTCTACATTATGAGAGAATTGACGTTACGTTCACACAACCAAAAGTTATTAGTAAGTCACATCTTGTTAACGCGTGTAATGCTCTATTATCATAGTAAATTTAACAACAGTCACAAGTAATTATTATTTATATATTTATAAAAGCATGAAACCAAGTTCTTATTGATTAATTAAATTACTTTATATTATAGTAAAAAAGTTATAAATAATTTACTATATACGAAACTATATACGAACCTGAAATCACAATTCGAGTAAGATATAAAAATGAACTATATTTTGCAGTAGTAATGCCATCTATCGTTTGTTAGTAGAACTTGAAACAAAGGCACAGTCTGAAATGTTCGTGCTACATTTTTATAGTGCTATCAAGATCCACTTCAGGTGAGGGTAAAAATATGGGTTAATCTGCAATATCAGCTTTGTATAGTCCTCAGGCGAAGGGCAGCTTGCCCTTGAAAACCGCTCTTTCAGAGCAACAATAGAATTACTTATCGAGCTAACCTTAACTAAAGTACGGGATTTTGTACCCATTTTGTTGGATTTAAATTTAGACTTTCACGCTGAAATGCCTTTGGGTTATTATTATATAAGTACAATTTCTTTCGAATCTTTTTATTTTTGAAGTAAATTTTATTTTTACGTTGCGGTTTATTAATTTCAAAAAAAAAATTGTCAAATCAACAAAAAATTAAATAGATATTAAAATTATTCTTGTATTATTTTTTGTCTTAGGTGCATAATATCAATTCTTTTAATGAATTAGTTTTACCATGTTTTTTATATTATTTTTATTGTAAATTTAATAATATTTTAAAATTAACTGATCATTTAGTTTCATAACAATAATAGATATTACAAGTTTTTTTGCTACTCCGCTACTTGCTACTAGATGGCGCTGCTTTGTAAAATATTGGTACAATTTTTATTTTCTTATGATGTGCTTTACAATATTTGTTTAGCGATGTTTAACACCAAACATCAACAAATAAGCTAACTGACTAATTTTGTGTTTATTATTCCTATATTAACTAATTTTTTTATTGGCATATTTTATTCTAAATTATTAAAAGTATATAAAATATATCTCATTAGGTAACAATCGTTGTAAAAATGTCGAAATGTTACTTTATTTCCGAAAATATAACATTAATGGACATTATATTTTCTATTGTTGAAGACATACTTTTTGTTAAATATATGAATCTAAATGGAGATCTTCGTGAAATCTTTACAATAATAAGTTTCGCTTTATTGTACGCTTTTAAGAGATTTTTTATGTTAGGATAATATTTGGAATTTTATCCCAAAAAATATTTTAATATTTAATATATTTTAACAACAAAGTAAGCAAACGAACTTAAGTACAAGTAAAAACTTCAATTGAAAAAATGTTTTAAAATTAATTTGTTATAAGCATTTACATAGGTTATACAAATAGAAGGCATATATTTTTTACAGATTTCCATAAAACATAATATTAATTGCACGTCCTCGGTTCGCTCAAGCACTTCAATATATGACTTACTTAGGTATATAACAGTAATATCTATACCATAAACTACATATATGTATGCAAAACACGATTATGTGAAGGGAAGTGAAAAGAACATATAGACCTACATACCTATATACTTTACAATATTAGTAAGGATATGTGAAAACAATCAACCACTTTCCTTTGAGTAACTTTGGCCACTTACTTTACAAAGATAAAAACACCCAGTCGTTGCATTGCGTAAAAATGAGAGAAATCACTTAAATCATCATGTATTTATAATGCGGAGCTTGATATGTTGATATGTTGGGACATTAACACACATCACCATCTAGTTCCATGGTAAGCTACAAAGCTTGTGTTATGGATACCAGGTAGTTGATACTTTACACATATAATATAACTTTAAATACATACATATTATAAATATAAACATCCATGACTGGAGTACAAACGTTCGTCATCACACAAATGAATGCCCCCGGCGGGACTCGAACCCGCGACCGCTGGCACAGAAAGTAGGGTCATTACAAACTGAGCCAAGCGTGTCGTCAATATCAAATATTCGCGTAGATCAAACCAACACATAAATATATATATATATATATAAAAGAAAAGAAAAAAAGTATATGTACTTATAAACAAAAAAAAGGAACAAAAAAAAACAAAAAAAAATATGCAAACAATTTTATTATACATATATATATCAGTGGCGAAGCATCCATACGAGACGTCTTACCTTAAAATTATTTTGCTATAATTTTACATACATTTTTTATTTTAATGTATAAATGTTCTTTTGGAAATATATATACCTACAATAATAGCTTTATTTCTTTCTGTATTAATACGTATATGAAAATTATATATTAATATTAATACGTCTATAAATATATATATTAAAAAAAAGTTGTACATATTTGTTAGTTGCAAGAAATAAAAGCTTATTTATTTTATTTATTCGCGTAAATCTAAGAATTAATATTAATTTCTCTAGTTTTTTTAATAACTTAAACTTCTGTAGTTGTCGTAGCATTAGCATGTTAAAAAGTACTTATGTACAAAATCAAAATAAATAATAGATAAAAATAATTACCCAATGCTGTTAAAAAAGAATAAGCGTTCAGGACTCTCTTTGAAACGCCTTAAGCATAGCCTTGAAGGGTTAATATTATGATAGCCATTCTAGTCGTTACCATCAATCATTTTATTAGTCAGCATTTTCTTTTGTCTCCATTGTTCTAAATCATCTAATTAATGATATTTTTTTACTGAAGAACAAAAGCTTCTCTCAATTGTCACCTTTTACTTTTCTAAAAGATTTTTAAAATTTACACAAAAGATTTTAAGAAAAATGAACGCATGTTTGCTAAAAATATATAAATCTAAATATATCTAAATCGATATCTTATAAGGAGTTATAGGAAAATTAATATAAAAGTTCAATATTAAATTAAAATTAGATTTTGCACATGACTCAGCGCTCTATGAGAACTCAAGTACTTAATTGAGTAAAAAGAAGGACGACTAATTATATTTTGATTATATTTAAACAATTTCTAAAATTGTATCAAAAAAAATTGTGACACTAAAATATGTCGACGATTTCGTAATATTTATTACAAATCTCTTTTTTTTCTATTGAATTACCTTAGGACGTTAATTTTTTTAAAGGTATGAAAAATGTAAAAGCTATAAAAATTATTGATAATCGTTACTGGAACTCTATCTTATCTTAACAAGATCATATATATATATACAGTAATTTATTTTAAAGTATTCTTTGAAAATTCTAATTGTCTACATTACAGTTAAGACCACGCATCGCATGACATTAATTAACCACGGAAGTTGTGAAAGCTATAAGTATGCTAATGTAAAATTTGTCATAAAATAAGTTATGTCACACATAAAACTTTTACAACCTTTCCCATGAAGTGAAATGAGAAAACAAAGGGGGTGTGTGGTGACGGAACCTGCCTACCTATGAACAAATCGTCTCCCGACGGATTCAAACCCGGGACTATAGCATCACACACAACACAATTTTTCGGTTACTAATAAAGCCCTTACTATTTTAATTATATATCATATCATTAATTGTTGTAGGTAAACACATTAGGCTCAGTTTGTAGTGACCCTACTTGCTGTGTCAGTGGTCGCGTATTCGAGTCCCGCTGGGGGCATCCATTTGTGTGATGAGCACTAATGTAACTCTAGCCATGGGTGTTGATATTTATTATATATTTATTATATGTTTATATTTAAAGTTATATATGTGTAGTGTATCAACTATCTGGTATCCATAACACAAGCAACATGGAACTAGATAGTGCTGTGTGTTAATGTCCCAATATATTTATTTATTTATTTACATTTCTTTTGTTAGAATAACATCAATTATAATGTATAATTCAATGCCGAATAATACATAATACGTGGGCACTGCCAGTAAGCGGGGAACTGGGTCAGATAAGTTCTTTTGAAAATTTACTTTGGGATTTTTCTAAAATTGCATAACAAAAATAGAGATCCTACATTGCTTGGTATTTTTCTTCAATATATCTATCTAGACCCGCCGGCTCCTTTAAATAACTAAAACGTGTACTCAGCAGTACCTATTATTATGGTGTCATAAAATTGTATCTAAGCCGAATCTTTACATTAAATATTTTTTGGAAAATCTTATTGAAATAGACATTATTATCGATACAGAGGTCGAATCTATAGTTTTTAGAATTTTTGTCTGTCTGACTTTTACCGTATCACAGAAAACCCACTGGAGGAATTTTTGATGTTTAGTATGGTGATAGCTGGTTATCCGGGTCAACATATAGGATACTTTTTACCGCGGGAAAATGTCTCATTTCTGAGAAAAAATACAAAAACTGCAATGTAAAAGTATACTAATATGTAAAACCTAAGAATTTGGTTTTTGGTCATCTGAACGCGAGCGGAGCCGCGGGCAATGCTAGTTTTTAATAATATTGAAAAATTTATCTGTTTTCATATATATCGCATAATAAAATATTAGAGCGGTGGGATTGGAATTTTGAAATAAAATAATATACATGCAATCTATATTGTAAAATTTTATCAATAATATTTACCTAGTAATGTAACGAAATATAATGAAACGACAAGATTAAAGCATTCACAAATTGAATATAATATAACCACTAATGGAAATAGGCCCTGCTATTCGGCTCATCAAAATAAT